GTGGAACCTAGGTGTAATGTTCCCTAAGATCATTCAAAGACACGCTTATTATTATGTTTTTTAAGAGCGATATCCATGTAGAATTAGCGAGCATTTCCTCTTATCATTTAACGCATACGAAATTATTTAACGTATACAAATAGAAGCCCCATGGCTTCATTACGAAAGACCTGATATCATAAAGTATGCTAAAATGTCAATATTATGCAATGTTTTAGTATACCATGTTGTATCATATCATATAAGATTATGTTTTCTTTGACAAAAATATCCTTACCTTAAAAGTATGATGCGTAAATATCAATTTTCTAGGTTATATTATTCCCTTTTTAAAATTAAATTAATTCTTTAAAGTTAAGATGATCTGAAATTTGTCATCGTTTATATTGTCTGAATTTCCTGGAAATAGATAGTAGTTACTAGTCAAGGAATGGTTGAGATTGAACACAAGTTCTAAAATAGATCAAACTCTAAATCGGTTTTCATTTTCAATTGAAGATGGCTTCAATGTGAAGCAGCTCACACCAACGCAATGCCTTAATTTTGATAATTAGACTCAATTATTTAATTAAATAATTTTAACTCATCATTAATTATTAAAATATTTTAATTATTTAATGCAATTCTTCAAAAATAGTTATAGAAAAAAGTGCTTAGTGTCTTCACTAAAAGTTAAATTACTTCAAACAAAGATGTTGAATTTAGAAAGGAGCAACATATACAATTAATCCTATATGTAAAGATGTTGAATTTTTTTACCCAAAATAAAGAGAAAAAGTTGTTGAAATTGTTTATCATTTTTTTTTTAGACGAAGATGACTATGAGATTTAAAGAGATGATTAGCATCAATCACGGGCAACAATAAAGAAGTTAATTTAATCCTAGTTGTCTTCAACATAATATTTCTTTATTTGAGCACTACTAACTAGGGTATGTTACTATATTGGATGTCACATGACTTTATGACTAGTAGGCATAGGGACGAGATAAGCAAGCAGTATTATTTTAGTAAATTAAAGAAATAAGAGTTATGGCATTATGGCTTGTAAGGGACACAACCTACATTTTATTATTTTAGTAAATTAAAGATAGACTTATAAGGAATCCACCAATATCAATTACATGCTTACGTTATGGCTTGTGGGCAGTGGCGGAGATAGGCCGGGTGGACGGGGGGTCACCAAAAATATATTTGTGTGTTTTTAATACTAAACATAAGATCTACTTTCTTTTCAATAAATAAGAACTAATATATGAAAGTTTGAAAAAAATGTAATATCTAAGAATATGTTTTCTGTATATATAAATATAATATAATATGTTGGCAAGAAAAAATATAATATAAGATGTTATATTAGGTAAGTTTCTTCATTTGAGTTGAGGAACATATGTCATATACTATGCTATGTATGAGAATTCGAATTGCCACCACCCCATAATCAAATATTCAAGCAACCTCATTATCCACTATCAATTAAGTGATGACCTTGGCTGATGAATTGATAAAACAATAAAGCAATCCCTCTATGCTTTGGCTTTCGGCCTTCCCTTTCTCTTTGTTTTTTATCTTCCTGTCAGTGAATCAATGACATTGGCCGCAATCTCAATCTCATGACCTTGGCAGTATATGAATTAATCAAATATAAAAGGTCAATGTTAAGGTGAGTTATGTCAATCTCCATATGCCTTGGTCTTTCATTGAATATTATTCTACCGTGCAATTTGTGTTATGATTCGCAATACCTTATATACGTTTAATATATTGGGCAACTTATGTTACGATTTTTTTCCAGTCTTTTTATTTCTTTTAATATATATTTTGCATAATATATTTTACAATCCATATTTTTAGGAGTGAAAGATCAATGTCTAAGGAAAAAAAAAACTATTGATTCATGACTTCACAACAAGATGAAAGATGGGTTTTTAGGTTTTTTTAACAATTTAATAATAGTTTATATTGAGAAGAAAATTACTGAAAAGTTTACCACAAACATGATAATTGATGATTTTCATGCCATGAAGAATAGAACAAAGCTTAAAAAATGAAAATATATATTTATTTTAGTTCTATATGTATAAAATTGAATATGAATATATGTGTTAAAATATTTATGTTATGTTACTTATATATATATATATTATCATTTCTTTAATTATAGTACATGCGAGATCGATCTTGGCCCTTCCTAATTAAAAATCCTAGCTCTGCCCTGCTTGTGGGGACAATTATATTGCCCATGCAAAGATTTCATTTTTATTTAAATATCATTTTAATATTATCTGCAATAACCTTTATGATATTATTTATTATAAGATTCTATTCATGGATCCCGCATATCATTTTTTTTTCAAAAATAAAATTTTATGCTGTTGTTGAGGTTACTTGCTTTTCTTTAAATTTTATTCTTTATTTTTAAAAATAAGTATTTGGTTATTGATTTTTTATAAAATAAAAATAAAGAAAAGAAAAGAGCATGCAAATGTTATGGCAAGTCATAGTCATGTTCTAAAAGCACGCCAAAAACATTCTAGCAAAGCAAAATCAGTGCTGGGAATTAATTGCTGCTAAAAATAGATATTATGGATTTCAGCTAGGATTCCATTTTCGTGCCTTATATTTGTGTTTTGGTGATTAAAAGAAGTACACTTCAGGTATTTTCATTTATTGTCACAATAACACTCTCCTCCGATCCGTCCTTGCCTAAAGACATGTAAGATTATAAACATTTTAATACCTAAAGAAGTTGGGGCAATTGGATTTTCGATGGTTCCTCAGTTCTGTACTGATTTGTTTTGGTACAAAGAAGCAGTCAACTAGCTGCCAATGCTTTTTTGGACATCCAGAAAATGATTGATGTTTATTAGCAGAGCGATAAATGTGAGACACCGAGGCCATCCATTCCAGATGAAGTAAGGATCTAATCTCCTCCACAAGATTTCTGTCTTGGTGCATGCTAATATCACGCCAAACAATCAGGTCCAATGCATCTTGGGAGTCCGACATCACCATAATCTGACAAGTTCCATTATCCCATGCAATCTTAAGATCCATCAAAATTGCCCAAAGTTCTGAACTCAGTATATCTAATCCAACATGGCTAAGCATGAACCAGTAATGAGATTGCCCATGTGATCCCGAATTACACCGCCGCGAGCTCCTTTTGAAAAAGCAGGGGAGAAGGAAGGCGTCAACATTAACCAGAAGCCAGTCTCTTGGCGGAGGGGACCACTTACTCGCCCCACTTTCTGGTCTGTCACTATACCCGTCACCTTCTTCCTATGCAGGGAAAGTTCTTTCATATTCTGCATGGTGGCCGTAGCTTGGCCTCGAACGCTTTCGTTATAGATAATCTTGCCTTCAAAAATATGTTTAATACTTTCGTACTCTTTATTTGCAACTATCAAAACATGAATTTGTGAGTAAGACTTTGTTAATTTGCAAATAAAAATGATTTCCAAGCAATGTAATATTTGACAACATTTTCTTATAAATTAGTGAATTTAAGTAGCAATTTTTTTTTAAATGTTGCAAATTATTGGACGAATGTAGAAAATTTTTAAACGCATTCGCCAAAATATCTTTAATCCTTATTTTTTATTTCTTACTATTTTAGTTTTTATTTTGAAGTTATTTAATTTTATGAACCTTTAATGTCATTCTCCATTGTTTTTTAATATATGCCCATCTAATGTTCGTTGATGATAGATATATAATACAGTTTATTATTTTTATAGGCCACAATAATAAAAATAATAATAATAATAATAATAATAGTAATAGTAATAGTAATAATAATGCAGTCTATTTTCTCCTGGTAAAAAAAAAGTCTATTTTTTTACCTAATTTCATGCAATTAAATTGAATAGGGGTATATCTAGTATCTAGCTATGACTATAAATATTGCATTGTAATTTGCAGAGGGTCCAATATTTAACACCAATGGAAAAAGTGGAAAATGATCCTATGCATACCTAGGATTAGGAGGATTAAAAAAATTTTCCCGGACAAGACAAACAAAAAAAAAAAAAGTAGGGATATTTCATGTTGGCCAACAAGTGGAAAATTCTTTCACTAATTTAATGATAGAATTAGCGAGATTAGGAGTAGATTAGTGATGGAATAAAAAATTCCATCACTAATTCACTAATTTTTTTTAGCCTGTAAAAACTATGAATGTGATATAGTTTTAGATTAGGCTCAAAACATTCTAAAATTTCATTGTAAGATGTTAGGCCTAAATTAAAATAAAATTATAAAACAAAATGACTAAAATATTTTTATTCTAATATATAGCAGCAAAATAAGCAACATAAGGGGATTAACAAGTAAATTAAAGCTTTTGACAAGTAACATAATTGATTTTATAAGTTATACCAACAACTTAATGGCACAGAAACCGAATGAAAAATTGCACTCTTGTTTATTTTTCAACTTGGCTGCTTAATACACTGGATCCATGGCCTATTTATACTGAAGTCATGGCCAAACGAAAACAGAAACGAAACAACAGAATTAAAACGGGGGTTTCGCAGGTTACAAATGAGTTTTGAATGCTTTTAAATGGAGAACGTTTCAGCATCTTCATCAACTTCTATTTTCTGCCGTTTTCATTAGCTTTCATTTCTGCCGTTTCTATTTCACTTAACCAGTAATAGATTTAACTTGCCCCATAGACTTCACAAGTAAAATTATAGAGTTATTAAGTAATGTAAGGGAATGAACAAGTAACACAAGAGAATTAATAAGTAAAGTAAAGCTTTTAATAAGCAATACAGTTGATTTTATAAGTTATAATAATACACACAAACGACAATAATTGAGTGGCTGTAACGCACACGACATCTATCCCATAAGAAAAAAATATTTTAGAAAGACTCTGTTAAGAATATTAGCTGTAACAAGTAACGCGCGTGCCATTATGGCTCTTTAAATCTGTTATACATATGATGTCTTTAGTACCAATCGCTCCTATCACCACAAAAGTTATTTCGAGCTTCTGCTTAACAAATTCTGTGCTCGTGTTCCCACCAGAATTTCTTGCATTTCCCTCTTCGTTATTAGTCTTTCTATTCTTCCATATATCTCAACAAGAAAAAAAAAAAAAAACCACACAAAGGAGGCTTCTTTGTTCAAGACACTGAAATCTCTAGATTGAAAGGTAATGCACTCTGATTGGGTTTCTTTTTATTCTTAGATTTTGTTCTTGTTGTTACGTTGTTTGCTATTTTCTTTCCATAAAATTAATAGCAGTTATATATATGATTGAATTTTTTAAGTTGCAATTCTAATATATATATATATATATATATGGTATTCTTAATCTTGTTAAATTTGCAGGTCTTGAGCTTAATTCTGAGTTGATTGGGTGATCTTGTTCTGGCTTGTTCCTTTACTTTTCTCTATTTCATCACACAGTACTAAAATATCTCAAAAGAGGTTAGTAAACACATTCTCATAATATTTCCCTTCGTTTTGTTTTTTTAAATATAAAAAAAATTGTAATGCAGTTCGTTCTCTGTTCATTATAATGTTGTAGAGTAAAATACATTTGCTTCCTCTTTATTTTAACTTAATTATATATATTTATATATATTCTAATTTTAAAAACTATATGAACCTTCCTTGTATAGATTTTTTTTTTAACAGATCCCTTGCATAGAATCAAAAGTCACAAGACACTAATCTCCATCTCTTATACTTTTAATATTTTATTTACATCTATCAAACCATTACTCAACCATTCACCTATACTACTACTCCGTTTTTACTTGTAAGAGAAACTATCATTTTGCTTTCTTTTTTATATTAGCAAAATCACATATTTTAATGAGTATTTATCACAAATTTTCTAAATTACCCTTCATAATTTACATTGACGAGAATAATTAATGCATGCTTTGATTAACATAAGGCATTTTAGTTCAATTTCTTTACTTTTACATATAATTATTATGATTAATTAAATTTTTTAAATTGTGTGATATAATTGTTTTTCTTATATATAGAAATGGGGGGAGTATATGTTAGACTAAAATATCTCTTTTTAAAGTTTAAACATAGATATATTATCTAATCATTTAAGGTACCAACAAAAATTAATGCATATACTTTTTTTGAATCTTTTATTCATATTTTAATTTTTCAATAATGTAAAATTATTTATTTAGTAATTTTTTTAGAAAAATAAGTTCATAAATTGGTGAAAATAATATTTTAAGCATATATTACAAAATAAAAAAACTAATGAAATATAAATTTAATATATAATAATGGATAAATTAATCAACATTATCACATTATTAATCATGAATACAAGGAAAAAATGAGTATTTAATCCATACAAGGGTTTAAAATAATTTTAAAATCAAGGGTTAATTAGCTACAAATGTTCAAACCCATGAGAAAATATGAATATATTAGTACAAACAAACAATGAATGAGAGAAAAGGAAGGGAGAAGAAGAACCAAGATATGAAGCTAACATCTCTTCCAATATTCAAATTCAAGCTCAATCTCCACCAAAATCCAAGAACTAACAATCCAAAAGCTCCCACATACTTCTAAGAAGTCCAAAATAATGGCCTTGGTTGAAAATGGCCTTCATATAGTCCAAAACCCTAACTTTATTAGTTAAAAAAAAAAAAAAAAACACACACACACACACATTGTTTTCTGACAACGTCAAAAGTTGCAAATAAAGTCACGAATTTGCCTTGTTTTGCACACATCTACCATTTGTCTTGATTGTTAAACTTTTCATCAGATTTTTGTTCATCTTAATACCTTCCAAATCATCAATGCCAGAAATGTCCTCATCATAATCTTAAACCAAAATATCAATAAATTAGCTTGAAAAATACCAAAATAGAGACATGATGTGAATTTTCAAAAACATATATACAATTTCTAACTTGAGTATTCAAAATATGTACAATTGTGCAAGAATAAATTGAAATGTGAGGAAAATATACTCAAATGACATAAAATTATAATGTGAGGAAAATATACTCAAATGACATAAAATTATAAAGCTAACAATTATTCATAAAGTGGATACAACTTATAGGGGAAGGATAGCAACGTTTCTGCTATTCAATCCCCACGAATCAGCAACTATAAGCTGGAAAGTATGACAATGAAGATCCCATGAAATCGGGAATAAGATCAAAATGTCTACAAGGAATATAGGAAATAACCACATAAATAAAGTCTAATAATAGTAGAAATAAAGTCTAGGAGTAATCTATAATATTCCAACAACACTTTCCCTCAAGCTAGAGAATAGTGTTATGCTTGGCAGGAGATAAAAGTGAGGGGGAGAAAAAAGTGAGAAGGAAAAGTTTGTGGGGGTAACGTTTTCCCCTCCTTAACTACTGAGAGAAAAGTTGAGGGAAGGGAAAAGTGAGAGAAAAAATAACATGTAGAACCCACATATTTTTTATCTTTAACTTTCTCTTCAAATATAAGGAGATTTAGAGAGAAAGTTTCATCTCCAAATTTATCCACCAATTTTCAAATTTTATAATATTTGTAGTGTAGTTTTTATTTTGATCATGGACTTTTATTAAACAAGCAGTATACTAAATTTTTAGATTAATTAGAGAAATACTAATTCTAAATTTTCAGTTAAGTTTCTTATATTTGGTTGTATTTTTAAAATTTTCTGATTATTATATAGTTAATAATTTAATTTATAAAAATTTAAATTGGATAAAATAACTTTTGGTTAGTGTTGGATAAGATAATTTGGTAATTATATTTTTAATCAATAATATATAATAGAAATTATTAGATATATAATATGTTTAAATATTATATTTATTATATATAAATATTTTTATAAATAATAAGTTTATTGTTCACATAAATTAATAACTTTTTCCTCCTTCCTGGTTTCTCTTGTTCAAACAAGTAGTACAATGAAAAAAATAACATTCCTCCACCTTTTTCTTCAATTGATCATTTTCCTCCTTCTTGTTTTCCTTCCAAGCCATGCACAGCATAAATATCAAGTATTTCCACCTTGCTACCCAGTTCCTCAAATCAAGCCTTAGCGAGTGATTTGGTAAGCAAATCTGCCACTTGCTGGCAGGTTCACACGTGCCAGATTTATCATAAAACGAAAGCGACTTTTGACTTTCGAATCCTTCTATAATCTCAACTTTAAAAAAAAAATGCATCCATTTGTTTTCCCCTTCATTAATTCCTTCTAAATGGAAGAATACGATCTAACTGTTATTTACAAAACATACACACTCAGAGAGATATTATTTCTCTTGTTTTTCTTGTTATAATACTAATTGTATTATTTGTCTTCAAGCACTATACCCTCATTTTGTGACTATCATTATTATTTTATCAATTATTCTTTCTTAGCTTTATTTTTCCTCAATGCTTCTTCACCTACTTTTCCAAACCAGATGTTTCAACATTGTATGCTGTCTTATATATTATAGTCGAAAAGAAATATAATTGCAATTATAAATAATTGAAATGGAAAATATTATAAAATAGGAGGGAAGTGGAATGCATGGTCAAGATGATCTCAAGAAATTATTAAGTGAAGCTGTGAACCTGACATTAAAGAAAGCAAAGCACGTAAGGTACAAGGGTGGAAGAAGTACACAGATTGTATATGACAATCTTGTAAATTTATAACTAAATTTCACGCTCTAAATACATCTTTTTATTTTTGCAGGACTTGTTTCCGGTTTGCTATAATCGTGTGTTCTCCATTAATTCCTCATAATTATTCCTTCTACTCTTATTTTCATTCACAGCTTCCCGCGTCTGTCAACAAATTAAAAAAAAAAAGGTAAGAATACATTTTATATATGGTGCTATAGTTGCGTTATTGTCCTTTTCTTTATGTTGCTTGCACTGCACTTTTAATTTTCCATAATTGTGCTAAATATATTTTTTGACAGATTGTTCAGTATCCTTTGATAAAAACTGTTTTAAATTTTAATTTATTCCAAAAATGAAACTCCGAGGCCTGTCAATTCAATCAAGGGGACATGTTATGCTTGTTTTGCTCTCTAATCAATTCTAGATGAGTTTTTCTTCAAATTTTTTCTTTTATTTTTATTTTCAGTGGTTGGTTTTGATTGAGATTATATTGTTATATGTCGTCTTTTTTACATATTTCGTTACTCTTTCACCTTTGTCTGCTTACTTCTACCATATGCAATGGATCACTTTTCTTTTTTTGGAGGAAAAGGGGAATGTTTATTCATAATTATTAAGATTGGCGCTACATTACAACAGGTCCAAGGTTTGATATGTGATCTCTTGTAATCATAATTAATACCCCATGTTTTTGCCCCCTGGAGCCGATAAATTTCTACTTTTTTCCCCTTAAAAAACATGTAGTGTTCCCTTAAAAATCATTAGTCCAGAAAAGAAAGGAAAAGAAGAACTTGAAATATGAAAAATGACAACAAAAATTTTAAATATTATTAATATTAAAATAGCAGATACCCATTTCTATTCTAGAGACAACAGACTTTTTTTATTCCTTTATGATTCGGTAATCCTTTTTTTTTTAAATCTTTGTCACTTATTTTGTTCTACTTCAAATCTGATTTAAAAAAGAAAAAAAATCCAAAAAAGGAAACCCTTTGTTTCTTTTTCTGTAATTATATTATGTTAATTTATCATGTTTCTCTTTGTTTTTTTTGTTTTTTGCAGTCATTTTTTTTCTCTTAATTGATTATTTATAATAATGTCTTCCACGACCTCCTTAATAAAAAATAATTATTCTCTCTGAATTTGAGAATGAGATAAGGGGTGAACGTGTAGGACTCAACAAAAATTAAGTCTCCTCCTTTTTTTTTGCCCCTCTAAAATTACAAAAAATTTACCATGGCAAATTTGATTTATAGTTTTAACATTAAAGCAAGCAAATTCAATGTGTGATATATATGTGTGTGCGCGGGCGACGTGCGATTTTGTAAATTCTTAATTCAATATTATTCAACCTTCCTAATAAAAATTAATTAGTAAAAGACTTATAAGGACTTGTTTTCTACATGTATAAAAAAGAAAAAAAAGAACCTTAGGCTAATTCTTGTATCTATGGTACCAAATTCTCCAATCAAATCTTAAATATAATATAGAGTAAAATATACTGATAACTCTTATATTGTATCTTAATTACATATATTTTCCTTTCAATTTTTAAAACTTATATGAATCTCATTTAGAATCAATAGTGACAAAACACAAACCTTCATTCCACCTTTAAGAAGTTCATTTTTATTCACTCGTTTGTTACTTTATCAGTATATCACATGTATTGGATTAAAATATCTCTATTTAAATATAAATACTGTTTAAAGTTCATTTAAATTAACCAAAAATAAATTTAATATATAATTTTTATTTTTAATTCATGTGTTAATTTTTTAGTTATGTAAACTTATTGATTTAATAGTTTTTAAGAATTCAAATATATAATTTGGCTAAAATAATATTTTAAACACATGTAAAAAAATTAATGAAGTAAGGATTTAATATAATAAGGCATAAATTATTCATATAATTTATGTTTACTTTTATTAACTTTTATTAATCTTAGAAAAATATTTTTAAATGACTTGTTCAATATTTTCATCATACTTTTTAAAGTGGGGAGAGAGACCAGACAATTATATTGTAAGGAAAAATCACTAATTTCATATTTTAGCATAATTAAAAATAAAAAAATTAAGTATTTTTTATTATTTAACAGAATATTCTTAACAATATTAAAATTAGATTAAAGTGTGGGTTTGAAAACAAAGATAGGTCATTGTATTTTTTAAATGGACTATCCAAGATTTATTCTGGATATTTAGACTTAAAAATTTTAACTAAAAATTTTTTTAAAAATATTTTTGAAGAAATTCTAGTTTGGAGATTATATTTATTTTTAATCTTGTATTTAATAAATTAAAAATTATAAAAAAAATTAATATAGATGTAGACGGTTCAGAGTACATCTAGATAGTTAATTTTTAAAAATTTTAAAATGTGCCATCCATATAAAAGCTGTATTGTCAAGATTGGTGATAAACATATTTATGAAATTTTTTATAAAGTTTTATTTTAAATGATCATAAAATAAAAATATAAATATAAACTTTAAATATAGACCATTCAAATTTTGCCTGGTTGACGAGCACCGAAACCAAAAGCGTTTTACGGTTGAGTCTTAACTAAGGGAGAATTTCAATACACGACGACAGATGTGACTTTTATATCCAATGAGACCTAAAAATTCTGAAAATTCACTACTAAATTTATAATAAGTTTTTTGAAGAAAAATGACCATAACGTCCTTTGTTAATTATTTATAAAAAAAAAATCACCTCGTTGGAACCACACTGCCTACGGCTGGACCACGCCATAATGACCACTAAAGCTTCAGCTCCAGGTTTTTTGCCACCGAAAGAGAAATACCCCAAGGTGGCCAGGAGATTTGAACCCAAACCTCTTGGTGTACCAAAATAATGGCCACTAAATCAATCGTGCCTCTTGGTAATATAGTACAAAATATAATATATAACATATTACATATCAAGACTTAGTAAACTCATTAATAATGTTTCCTTATTATTTTACTAATACTACTTGTTAAGTCACTGGTGAACTTATTGACAGTACTCTCTACATATCAATTCTAGTGTCTCAGATAAAACTCTAATTTAACTTGTTAATATATTAATACTACTTGTTAATTCACTAACAAAACTTGTTGAGAAACCTTCTACATATTCAATTTTGGTGAGTCATTAAAACATTAACTTGTTATTTATTAGCAAAACTTGTCAACAATATATTTGTGGCTTAAAATATTCTAAAATTTAAGATAAGTAATATAAATCATAGATATTGTCTTTAAATATAGATTTGTTTAAAATTCATTCAAGTTACCTAAAAATAAATTTAAGCATATAATTTTTACTTTTCAGTTCATATTTTAAAATTTTTTAATCGTGTAAACGTATTTATTTTGATTTTTTTAAAAAATTTAAGTACATAACTTGGGCCAATAACATTTTAAACACATAAAAAAATAAAAATCCATGAAATAAGATTTAATATAATAAGAGATAAATTATTCAATATAATTTATTTTTATTTTTATTTAAATTTTATTAATCTTAGCAAAATAGTTTTAAATTATTTATTAAATATTGTCATAGTTAATCAAGTTATGTTCTAAAGAATTGGGAGGGAGGTTAGACAATTATTTGTAATAAGGACAATAATTAATGAAGATTGAGTCTAGCAGAAGAGGTGTAACATCTTGGTGGTTGTACAAGTGTTTTAAATCAAGGCATGCATGATATTTTCAGTTAAAAAAAAAAAATCTATTAGCCCTTTGGTGTGTGGGAGGGGGTGTACTGTGTGTGTAAAATGCTTGAAATAGGGAAAACACATACGTTCATTAAATATACGTAGAATTTTACATTTAGAAATCACTTGGAAAACTCATTAATTTGG